GGTGCAAAAGTATGAAATTTGCATAATGCATTTTCAGAATTTCAGTTTTTAATTTAAGTTACTCAAATCAATTTTCAGAATTTTGATGCATGATTGAAATACAATACTAGATATAGGTAAGTAATATTACATTCAATTTTTTATTTTATTTTTGGATTTTATTCTTTAAAATATAATTAGCTAATTTTTATTCATGAACTTAAAATGAAAATTTGATACGAATGCATTTCTCGAATTGTAATATTTGTGCTTTGAATTAGTAAAATTGATGTCCTGTGTTTTCTTCAAATAACATCAATAAAAATCAAAAACATAATCCTGTAAAAAAATATCGACTAAGAATCAATAAAGAATCCTGTACAGTTTGTGATTGAACGTGTCGACATAGAAGATATTTATTGGGGAAGAACGGTTAGGATCTATTGACAGAAGATAGTTCCACCCCAATTACATATATATCTCTTATACAGAGATATATATCCTGATATTCCAATAATATACGAACTTTGAGATCGACGCATTGGCCATTGATATTTTTAGAAGTTGTGAACAAATCAAGCATACGACACTTCAAAATATCTGAACTGCAGTGATGTCCTTTTCATATAAATATCAATAATAAAACAGACATTTATTTGAGTATTTGATTATTTTCCCCGATTTATGGTAGATTTGTTTTTATACAATTTAAATATCTACAACATACAATAAACATAAATATCAATATTACATGTTAAACGTTATGAAATAATTCGTCAACAAAAAACAACTCGAATTAGTCATAAGAAAACGGAATAGAAAGGGTGATGGGTCGAGTATATAACTTTACTGCCAATAGCAACATAATTTAAGAAAAAAAACATACCACCGACAGTAATTGCGATGTCTTAATAAATGATTCCTCATCCGAAATAAAATCGTCTTTGTTGGTTTAATTTTCGGAATATTAATTAATAATTAATATTAAAGGAAAGAGTGTTAAGAGTATAAAGCAAACAACACAAAACAGTCATATAAGCACAGATACGATGTTGTTGCCACAATATAACAACTATTAACATGAACAATAAACATCTAACACGTTGATGGAGCAGAATTTAATGTTTTGTTGCCTGGGCTTGTCACACTTAAGTCATTTTCAGAAAAGTCCCCACCATCGTCACTTTTCCCCATCTGAGAAAGCTCTTCTTCACAACTGTCCACATTTAATGACTCATGGCTGTCACATTCATTATCACTAAAATCCTTGTCATCAACGCAAACTGAGATTTCACCATCTTTTTCAGTCATATTTTTGTCTGTTTCCGATAAAGAACCTCCTCTGTGTCCACGTCTTACTGCTTCTTCCTCTCTTTTGGTTTTTCTCCATTTGGCTCTTCTATTTTTAAACCAAACCTTAAAATATAAATTTAATATATTCTTAGTTAACATTCAAAAATAATGCATCTTTTAGTATGACAATGTATAGTAGTAATATACTAAGGGGTTTCTGCGATTTTATAAACATAATCTCTCCCATATAATACGATAAAAAAAAAGTCATTAAGCCATTGAATAGCGATAATATAGCACACGTAAGATAAACTTCAATGTCGATATAAAATAACTGTGATAAGAAGGGAGAAACCGAAGATTGCTTTGATCCTCAGCTGTCTGTTATGCGCATGACTGATCAAAACTTAGCAGATGAAGTCTTTGGTTTTATTTATCTAACTATTTGTAGCATTTATGATATTCCCATTACATCTTTTGACCCTATGAGATTCTTAACAATATATTAAGCTGAGTATTTTAGCGTATGGAAGAGAAAATGGTGATAGACCAAGACTAGAAAGCGAACGTATTAAAATAATAATATTCTTGCTTGAATTTTTTTCCTTAGGACCAACAAGAATTCAATCGCTCGATCTACTGAAAAGGTGAACAGAACACATCACATGTGTAAGAACAATTTATTTCTCATGGAAGTTCACGATCTCGATGAAATCAACCAGTGTATTTATACGATCAGTATGTGAGAGATGTAAGGTTTATTTGTCACCGATAAAGACCGATTTAGAGTTTATCAACTAGCTTAGCCTCGTTTGAGCTGCAGCGCGATAATGGATATCGGGTGATTATTGGAAAACTGCTGATATCGGTTTATCAGAAGCTAAATGAGACGTTTGGCCCGATCGGCGCTTTGATGTTGTGTCCAATATGGATAAGTAATACTTTAATTTGGTTGAAGCTTATTGATCAGTCAAATCAATTAACAATTTATAAATGTCGATAGTCTCGAGAGGGAAGTAAACTTGAAACTCATTTCCAATAATGCAAATCATTCACCTTATTAGCCATATCATGTGTATGGATATTCATATTAAAACCTGTCCAAAATTTCGAAACTTTATTTCAATGAAAATGATAGTCTAAAATCCATAGCATATGGAGAGTTGGTTCATGATTAGAAGGGTTCTAAATTCGATCATCATATGACTTTACAGCTCATCTCGACTTGGGTTAAATCAGCTGGAAATAATAATAAGAATATAATACTATCGACAAATAGTGAGGGCATAGAATTAACAAATGCTTTAAATTAGTTTATTTTACCTGAGGCAAATGCGCGACACTAACCGGAGCCCATTAGTTCTGAGAGATATCGTTCATATGGTTCAGGAAAACACCACGAAATCCCCCGAGAAACAACTACCCAACTGTCTGCGTATGGCGATTGAATTAGTAGCCGCGGGCTTGTTGCTCAACAATAATTTCAACAATCATGATAATTTGGTCTTTTTAGGACGATTGTAAACTAATCGTAATTCAGAGTGCCTTTGAATCAAACGGCGTGATAAAAGTGACTACATTTTTATATCAGCAAGAGATGATATTATTGCGTGATAAGTTTGAATAATGTAACTTGCAAATGGTGTCCGTTGGACTGTAGTAAGTGACGAAGTATAATCAAATTTCGGAAAGAGAGAATATTAATATGATTTAGGCAGGACAATTCAACAGGCTAGATCTAGAAATTTTCATGAATTGAAACGTAATACATGATCAGTAATGCATTAACTCAAATTTAACTTCTACAAATCTTCGTGGAATAGATCCTTTGCCATCAAACACTGATTATCTGATCGGTTTATCGGTTGTGAACAGCAGCTTGTATCAGCATGATATCATTGTCAAAAGTTTAGTTGTATTAATAATTTTTTGTCTTAACTTAGAATACGATATAAAATCAATTTTAGGAGAATGAAACTGTTTGACAGAGATAGAAGTATTGCATAAACATTAAGCTGACAATCGATGTAGCATTTCGTGTACTGAAATATTGGAATCTAGAAAAAAAACTACTTGTAACATGTGTTTTAATATCATTATTAGATTAAATATAGTACGGAACAGTTATATTGCATCTACTAATTCGTCTATTTTGGCTTATTTATCCGCAAAAAAAGAAATATAATGAGCTATATATGCAAAATACAGATGTCCTGATAGATCTTAAAAGGTGAGGGTATTGGTTTACTCGAAATGTATGGTCGGAACTAGAGTTTAAGTTAAAAAATACTTTAAAAATGTACACTTGTTATTATTTATCAAAAACTGCTTGCGCACTAAAACAAATTATAGTTTTCTAAAGTATATCAAATGGAAATTGTTGAGAATCTTTGTAAGGAGTAATTAATAATATTTCCATTAATAAAACATCAGGCGAGATCAAAGGCACTAATTAATTTCCAAAACAAGAAAATCCAATTTATAAAAGATATAGTATTGATGAGTGAGATTATTAAAATCGTTCGTTATAACGACTTTGTTTTGCCGATTACTTTGAAGATGAAAATAAATTTTGTTCTTGATGCACTCTGATAATGGGTGGCTTTCTCTTTTGAGATTGAAGCGTAACAATTTTTCTACATTAGGCAGTTATTCGACATGGTGTTAGCATCTTTGTATCTATACATCTCTTAATGACATACATGACTTTGCAACATGATACCGTCATTGTCAATCCCTTAATAGTCTCATATTGTTAGGGAAACTTTAAAGTTTTGGGGGATTGGAAAGATATAGGTTTATCGTGAATTGCGATGCTATCAGAATTTATGTTCTAATGATAGATTTATAGATAAAAAAGATAAAACATTTATTGGCTTATAACCCAACTCAAATGCTTTCATTACTGGGGCGAATATTAGCCTTATAATATTTGTATAGAAAATAGTATATAATATACCTTTTAACGACACCGACATGAAATGAAAACATTTTCATCCCCTTTGTGTGGGAACACAGATTAGCCATATATTTTTGGTAAATATGATAACGTATATTTATTTTAAAAAAAAATAATAAAATACCTCAACTCGCTCTTCTTTAAGATCAACTTTCAATGCAAGTTCTTCTCTCAGTAAAACATCTGGGTAATGTGTTTTGTGGAACGTATTTTCTAGTTGCTCCAATTGTTCTTCTGTAAAGATAGTCCTGTGTCGCCTTTTTCTCTTTTGGCCAGCACGAGCAAGATCAGCAGGTGAAAGGAATCCCGGAAATGGTGACGGATAGGCGGCAGCCGCAGCAGCAGCTAAAATGATAACAAAATTGATTATTACATACAATTATTAATATGTATACAAATTTGAACATAACCTACTTCATTAACAAGATTAAACGAATTTGCTGCAATTTTGTCAGCTTATTATTGATTTTCTAACTATTCAAATTATTAAATATAACAATTTATGTATGGTATAAATTTTAGAAATGTATGTATATGTATAATTTAGAAAAATCGTATGGAAATATTCTCTAAACAACATTGTATTTAATACTCTATTTATTCAGGCTACCTAATTTACATAAACACATTAGGGCGATGTTGTATTATTATAAAAGATAATATTGAAGTAGACCCTTTATTTAAAAAGTTCAAAGTTTTAATTTCTAAAGGTTTGAATATTATCTGTAGTTTTTGTAGAGATATTAATCATATGTATTGACATGTTAACAATATCAACATTTGTAGTCATTTTCATATCATATTTGGCACTATTCAATTTACACCTTTTATGGCCGTATTCTAATATCATGACTTTTAACATGAGTATTGAATTTGACAGGATAATGAGATAAGTTAAAAGTTTTTCTATAGAAAATGTGTAATTACAATTATTTGATTGAACATAATACACCTATCAAAAATGAAGTTTTATTCAAATCTTGAAAGTACACAATATACAATTTCCACATTATCATAAATTTTATAGACCCCCATCCGATTTCCTTTTGTTGTTGAAATAAATACAATAGTTTTATTATTTATATAAAAAATGACGTTGATGCGACAATATGTCATTAAAAAACAGTATTTCGGTTTCTAAAAATCTCGCTGATATTTATTTTGTTTTCGTTAATCAGTAACACGCATAGGGGTTAATGTCATTCATCCTGAACAACATAAGTGAAAGGTCGAGTCTCTTATGGTTAGGAAAATAATGAATAGCGAATTGGTACCAGTAAAATATGTCTCTAGTCGGGTAACTCAGAGGTAAAGAGAGATGTTATCAAGGAGGATCAGTTGACTTGTGATATTAAAAAACCTAAAACTTTCAACTAAACCTCGTTTCAACACTATTATTTTCCAATCAAAAATCTCGGATTGCTTTGTGTTTAATTCCTCAGAACTATCCTATTTAGACTACCCTGTGTGATAATTATATAGTCTCTGTGACAGTGAGCGCGTCAAATAAACCAAGAATCGTCTTAAAGCGTACGCGACCATCCGTACATTTAATAAACAATACGTGAGACATAGGGTATCATTGACAAGACACCTACCGCAAAAATTACTATAACTTTTTATCCAAATAAATCATGGTAACTTATATGCCAGAGAAAATTGCCCCTTTTCTTAGCGTTTAAAATCAAAATATCCCCTATAGATTTTCTTTTGAATTTGTAGCATTTTGTTGGTTTTTCAAGCGTCGGAGGTAAAAATCCGAATTTAATATTTGACAAAAGATTAGGAAAGTTTGACAAGAGAATGACACGACATCAAGAGTATAATATATTCTATTCTGATTGTTCATGTGAAACCTACAAGTTTATGAAGTTTGTAATTCAGTGTTAGTATTTATGTTTTGTATTAAAAAAAAGTTTAACTCTTGTGACACGTGGTTGTTTATTTAATAATACTATTTGATTAAATAATACTCATATATCTACGATGAAAATAGTTTTCTTTGCCAAGATCATTTTTAGGTACTTGTTTTAAAACAAAATTGAACTCTTGTAATTAGATGCAGTAGCAACTGTCACTGTAATAAATGATAGTAATTTGCTATGGTTTTCACCCATAAGGAAAGACAGTAATTGTATACATCTAAATAAACAAAAGGAATACAATTTGCTATATTACATAAAAAGCAATTAAACCTATTTAAAATTATCGAATTTTTAATCAAATGACCCTTTGAAAAGGAAATCGTCGACTAGTAGACAATAATGTATGCAATTTTCTCTCCAACAGTTTAGCAAGTTTGTTGAAGTAAACATTTTAAAATTATAATGAGGTTGTCTGATTGAAAAATTAATACAAATTATAGTAGAACAAACGCTACTCATGAAAGTGTTTTTATCATCAAGTCCCTAATTATCAGTTATGCATGATTTTCATGTTACTGATTGCAAAACTTAATGCAAAATTAATATGCAAAGTATATCCCTACAATATTATATCAAATAAAGGATTTTTTTATATAATATTCTACTTTGCTAATTAAGTTTGAATTTTTACTCTTTGTCTCAGAAAAGTAAATGAGGAATTCTTAAATCCAAATGAAAGTGGTCAAATATCAAATATAAATCGCAAGCAATATTCAACAAACTAACGTATTAGCCATCACACTTTAAACTGTTAAAGGGGTCATATTATATTTAAAAAGGTATTTGTAAAGGCGAGACAATTTCGGCCATATGGATCTCTTGTCGTTATTGAAAGAAACATCAAAGACTGTTTATTAAAGGTAATTGGGTATTTATCAAGTAAAGTGTATTAATTTGAGGTTTTGGATTAAAATGGTTAATATTAAGTGCTCTATTAAAATATATAAGGTATTTAAGATTAGGAACTGTGTGTTTAAGAGATCAGTGTTTATAAGATATGATTCTTCTTCTCTAAATTAAAGCAATTTTTCACATAACTCTTTGGTCTAATATTCTTTAAACTAATTTACGGGAAAAACAAGTCACATACAAAATAAGAGCAATCAAGGAATTATAATAACATGTATTCTAGAACAACTACATGGAAAGTACATGCATTACGGTTTTTTACAGTTTTATATGATGATTATTCACAATGATTGTTATCATCACTAAATATGAAATATGTGACAGCGTTTGTCATGTTACATATACCTTGTTACGCATTAAAATTATCTTTGAAAAAATGAGATGATTTAGTACGCCTTTAATGTATTTGTGTTTTAAGCCTCATATAGATATTGTATAAACATTTTTAGCCTTAGTTTTTTTTTTTTATTATACTATAGGAATTAGACCGAATTAAGATCAAATATTATTGCATACTTCTTTTTCTTTTTTTTTTTTTAAAAAGAGCACAATACAAATTTTTGTAATTGAAATCTTCAGAAACCTTAAATAATTTAAATTGAGGATGATAGACGCAAATCGGAAAATTCGAAAATAAATAATTGTGAATTAACTGAAACCATATTTAGTGGGAAATAATGAGTTTCTATAAATCATTTGGAATTTTAGCGTTATCGATAAAAACAAATAACATTATATGGAATAAATGAAACCTTAACAATTTATGAGAAAACCGGTAAAAATTGGAAACTTAATCGTTCATTGCAAATCTATTAATTTATTTAATAGACTGTCTAAAATTCCTCACTTAGCAGAGCTCAATCTCGTTAAAAATGTAATATGAGATAAAGGTCTATAAAATGTGTTGAAGTCAACAAAATTTACACTGATTTACCGCCTTAAATTTCATACTATGTGAAATAACAGAAATTGCTTTTTTCGATACTTGGCGTTTAAAATGGTTTACTGTTTACATTATTATGAACAATACCACGTATACCGTAAAATAATTCGAAAATATTTGGCCTGAATTGGTGGCCTACAACAAATTGTTAGGCATAATAATTATTATTAATTAAAACAGTTTAAACAATAAAGAAAAGTCATTTGAATGATAATAAAAAAATATATTCGGACATGCTATATAACTTTAAAATTTTTTAAAAGTGCGGTGGATTAAAAATTACGTTCAGTAATTAGATGTTATCATTATTCAAATTTATAAATACAGATGGTTTTAATATTTTTATATGTCACATTTTTCATACATATTATAAATGTTAAATAGATATTATTATTATGAATATATTATTAAAAAAAGTGAGAATCGTAGAGTATGAATAAAATCCACATTTATGTGTTAGCAATACTACTTTACTGTATTAGGTCAATACGCTACGTTTTCGTATCAGGTCGAGATAACATGCTAACATGATTTTTGTTTATCATTTAACATATCATTTATGGAAAGTGGTTTTTTTTTCTATATAAATCAAGTTACTCACACACAATCCATAAATTGATGGATGCCATTGATAGCCAATTATTTGGCATAAAGTACAATTTACCCTTTCCAATTCTTGATGCGATTAGGAATGAAAAAAAAAATCGACGAAGAATACTCACCAAAGAAATCATACGGTGCTGGAGTGATACCCGGATAAGGAAAATAGGGTGTTGGTCTGTGAGCTGGAATCGGTCTTGGGGCCAAAATACTATCAATACTAAAAATGGAAGGTGAACTACCACTGGCAACAGCAGAACTAGCCTGTAATAAGGCATTGTGACAAGACTTCAATTGACTTGCTGTGTAATAATAGGGAAAATGAGGCATCATGGCAGCCGCCATTGAAGTTGGCATCAGTTCTGGTAAAGATCTGGGAACTCTGGAGTCCACTGACATACTGTCAAGTTTCTTCTGTTCGTCTTGCATTCAGGTCGTTTATTTACGACAATTCTGATAGATTTCAGTAATTTAATGTTGTTTTCTTCGCCTTACAAATTCTGTGAAACGATGAAATATTATCCTATGCGTTGAGTTCACTAAATCACCTCACATTAAACACGCTATAACAAACACCAAATAATTCAAGTTTCTAACAAATAACGTCCGTTCAGTTCACGATGTTGTATGATGACTTCTGGTAAATTTATAGCCTCTTTCTATTTCTTGTCGCTTATAATCAGAGAACAATACCCAAATACCACGGTGGTTCAGTATCTTCGCCCTAATTTGTATTATTCTTTAATGAAATTATCACCAGTACCTCCCATTATCTCTTAAGCTTTTGACTATAATCCATTCATTTCTCTCCTCATCATTACGGCCTTTGTCCCATTGAATGACTGACAACATACACGGACCAATGAAAACGCTCCTTCACGGTTAGAAGGCTGTGCTGGGTAAGTGGTTTATGAATATTTATAAGGTTCACTTATAAGCGTATGTTGACAATAATCAACGCTATTGTACTGGTATATATAAGACAACCAGGAAAAGATAATATTTGTAAAACGAAATTGAATCTGATTGCGAATCCATGAAGAAACAAATACGCTAATTTTACTTATAATAACTGCAAATTGTCGTAAATGAATTAACTGAAGTTTTTAGCAATGTACAAACAATATTAAACCGGTTATTTCGGATGATATTATTTCACCCATTGTGTGTAACTGAAAACACCTCAATCATTTTAAAAAATATCGAATACTAGTTTTGTTTCTTAATTTGAATTAATTTTCGGTGATAATGTATAATGATTTCTTTACCTTTTGAAATGACCTTAAATTAAAAAAACACGAGACGAAAGGTGACCATTAGAATATTTTAATTTACAAACTTACTTGAGTCTGCGTAACAAATTCCATTAACGTTGCAATGCAATTATTTAATCTTTTTGTACTTGAATATAATTTGAAGCATTCTAATAGAAACAAAATGTTGATAATTTTATTTCAGTTCACGTTATCAATATCAAAAAATATAAGTAGATTAGTATTTCTTTTTGAATTTATAAAATATACCTATTGAATCAACTGAATATACATAGACTTTACAATAAATTGCAAAGCTGGGAATTTCAGTATTCAATATAGACTAAAAATTCAATGTTGTTTCTCATCGGAATCAGAAATTATTAACAATTATTTGAAACGTTAATTGATCAAGGTTGAGGAACTATATCTACATTAAACATGATAATATTTTGTAAAACCACAAATTTATAAGTTAAGATTTTATTAAATAAATAAAAAACGAGTTTGAAAAAAAAGAAAATAAGTATATTTTGAGAATTCTGTTTTGGTTCTTGGATTCTAAAGCACCATTTAGGTGACTTCTCTTTATACTGATTAAGCCAATTCCATTTACATTCTACTTTTTAAATCAATCTTTTACAGAGTTGATAAAACTAGAATTTAGAATTGCTCTTTTAAAAATTATTTAAAAATGTGAACATCAGACATCTTTGTTTAACATACTACTGCACTACAATAGAATTAAACACAGGCACTGTACATTGATAGTCCACTTATGCAAAATTAAGTTTATACGTGTAAAATGAAATACCTGTAGCGTCATCATGAAACAGAATTGAGAAAATTTCGAGGGGCGCTCCGCAATTATCTTGCATATATTGAGCATTTGCTATTATAATAAATATAGGTCAACCACACCCCTTATTTTATCATAAATCTTTATTGATTCTTATGAATAGTACCGTGTATTCAAATGAATTGCTATTGATGACTCAAACTTTACTTTTGAGAAAATCATCCCAATACATAAAATATTTTGACAAACATTTTCTCGCTAAAAATATATTTCATCAATTAAGTGCCATTACTTCCGTGTTTTCAATTTTATTCAAAGATCACATAAGTGAGGAATTAGTCGTGGTAAAGATAGTTTTAATAGTGATTATAGGCAGATATTCATTATGTAAGTAGCCCATTTCTAAATGTTGCATTCCCAATTTTTGAATGGCAAATTCATTTCACGATAATTTGGCTGAAATCCAGCTATCAAATTCGAATTTTGTCTTTACATCGATTATAAAGTTCATTTCCGGAGGTCTTGCTCATTTCATGTCTGTAGTAGCCTAAGTAGTTCTTTGATACTTAAAAGATTTACTTATTCATTTAATAATTGGATTTTCTAGTGGGTGGTTCGTGTCATGTAGACATATACTTTGGAACATAACAAATAAAAATTTTGTTGTTCTTTCCTGAAGAGGTTCATATTTACTTTCTAAGTGGTGGATTAGACGCCCGGTTTGAACACCTGTAGAAATCAGACGTTTTGTTGTCCCGTTTAGTTACAATACTAAAATTTACATAGTGGACATAATCCTCGTTAGATAACGTGTTAGTTCAGAAATGACTTAGTTCAACAGTCTTTGAAAGTAGCATTGGGAAATTCAAACATGGTATTCAGTTTGTCTTTATTAAGTCGCTCCTAATGAGACAACAGCCTCTCCAATCCACTTCGATTTACACACCAAACTAAGTACTTTTGGCTAAGATGAATTGAGAGCCGAAAGAATCGCCAATTTAATCTGCTCTCAAGGAAAAACCTAGCCGTAAGCTGACGATAATAGGAGAGCCGTTTAAACTTCATTATAATCTCCTTTCTAAAGTGGTTTTATGTTGTGATTTTGTCATTTATTTTTAAGATTCGGATTGTCATACCCCTTAATGACAAAAACAGTTGATAGTTTTGTATAAATGTATTATCTTGAACCGTTGATTAAATTGTAAAAGCGAGAACAAAGATTTAAGCTGACTTCTGCATGAACCTTTTTGTTACACGGATGAAGTTATTTGTTGTTATGTACTAGACATACTGTATTATCGTATATTTTATGTGCAGACTTTATTTTGAATATAAAAAGCTAAAAATAAGATCGGCAGTTCTTGAAAAGTTCTTTAAATTACGATAACCTAAAAACAAATTTTTTACCACTTAAAATGAAGAATGAACATAAATATATTTTATACAGAAATTAGAATGGCTTTTTTGCAACAAAAAAACACATATGATTTTTTATCTAGGGTATTGCAATGTATTCAAATTCGATGCTCCCAAAATTTGGCATTTAAAACCGAATTAAATAATTAGCATTTGTAGATTATGATCATTATAAAAAAGTGACTATTGATAGTTTTATTCTTTAAAAGTATTGAAATAAAAAAACCAAAATTTGGTGGATTTTTTATAGCCGATTTACATGAAATATATAATTGGATACAATCATTGCAGACAGTTCTACTTTAAAAAAGACTTTTTAACAAAGAGTTCAAATCGCTGATCAGTACACAACGCATGAAGAATAAAATAACAGAATAATGCCCGAGTTATAAATATATCATAGAAAATCGAAGTCATGTTAAGTGAAGTGTTAAAAGTCAGAACTAACTATATGACGAAGAAGTGTGCACATATATGATGGCTACATTTTACTGGGACAAATTCGCCATTTTTGAGGGGTATTTTGGGTTTTGAATAATTTGTGTTGAAATTTACGAAATGTAAAATGTACAAAAATCGCACAATTCTTTCATATATACCTCTTAAGTAAGAATTGTTCTTTCTATTTCTATGTCTTTCCTATATATGGCATAGTTTCAAAAAAAGACGAATCGCCCCTTAAACTTTTTAACTCTGATATTTATGGGCACACATGGATTTGAACTGAAGGATCAAGATTGAACTGGGCTGTGCTTTAGCTCTCGTTTCTGAGACTAAAGCACGAATGGCGAATCTATCCCTTTAACAAAATTTAGGACGACTGGAAAGTTAAAGTAGAATGTACTGATCAGTATGTCGTTATGTTTAGTTTTGTTTGATGAAATAAAATAATTCAATTATGGTAGAAATTGGCATCTAGTGTTTTAGTGGAATAGTCATGTTCTGCCTTGTAAATGACTTGGTCACAGTAAATAAAGCAGTACAAATTAAGGATTTAAGCCCATATCCACATTTTCGTATTGCTATTATTACCTTATTTTTACAAATCTAAAATTTAATCAAATAATTTAGCGATAAGGGTAGGGTTTATTAGATATGGGCCTTTCATACCCTCCCTTCAAACTGCTGAGGGCTATTTTATCGTAAGACTTGTAAGATAAGCTTCTAATTAACATTCTTATCGTCTTGAACAATATGTAAAACAATCCCAAAACCTTACATTATTACATTATAAACGCAATCCGGACATCAGTCAGAAGTTTATATTCCCCGAATACGATTAAATGTCTACAGATAGAGTTTTCTCCCTTGTATATACAATAACTAATCGAACATATTACTGTTAATTGGAAAATGATTCAAGACGGCGATTTATTCTATCAATTTAAAGTAAATTTGTAAAAATGGTTTTTCACACTCATCATTTGTCCATTCGATATATTTTTATACCCGAGCATTGAACTAAATTTCTGAACTATAAGATGATGTTCACAGTTTCCATTGCCAATGCCATCAATACTACAAAGATAAATGACGGTCAATATATACCGCATTATAGGCCTGCAGTCCTTCCAACAAGTCATGAAACCGGCCAAATTTGGCCCTTTTGATTTTCATCGATGTAATTAAGAACAGGTTAAATGGGGAGGTACAGTCCTTAAATGTAATGATGGCAGCTAAAATACCATAACATGTAACTTGAATCGTTTTAAACAATAAAAGTGAATTTTCAACTATTGGTGATCTAAGAATTAAATCTCAATGGTCACTATGACAACCATTATCCACATGTAAAAAAAAAACTTACTAAGCCAGCAATAGTTGATATATATGCAGACATCGAAATATGAATAAACAAAGACAATACCTAGTTTTTATTTTTCAACATT